TTGAGGCCGGTCACACACGGCCTGTTTTTGTTTGTTCTTTTTTATTTGGTGTGTCTCAGTAGCGTATTTATCACTTCTGCCCTGTGACACGGCAGCAGGAAGCGTGGTCGTTGTTAATCCGGGCCCCGACCGATCCGGCATGATATTTTCTATTTTTGTTTGAGTCATGGCATTGGATTGGGTAGCTGCTTTTTGTCTAACCGTTATCCAAACAACCTTTCTGGCATGGTAGGACCTACAGGAACTTAAGTTCCAGCCAGTGTAGCTCGTTGGGTCATTGCGATATGCAAGCCTGACCACCACGTCAAGGTAGCAGCTTTCGGCCGATGATTATCTGAACAGAACTGTAGAAGACAATCACCGTTGTCGGTTCGTCGGCGGGGAGCTCCATACGTACCACCTACATACTTCTCAGCCTGACACAACTTCCCTACTTGGGTATTGAAGTCGCCTGCTAAAACAACTACATCTGGACGTTTTGCTTTTTGCAGCAAGTTAGACAGTTTCAGGTAGAAGTCATCTTTTAATTCATCCGAACTGCAGTCTGTTGGGGCGTAAGCGGAGATTACGTAAAGACAGCGACGGGTAACACCATCCTTCCTTCTTCTATCGGACCCGTTCAGACGCACCACACACATATGATTATCTACTGGGATCCAGTTAAGAAGTGATTTTTCTGCCCTAACACTCAATGCTATCCCTACATCTGTGAGTCCTCGAGAAGTAGCTGAGGAGTCTCCTGACAACTTTAAAGTGAATTTTGCAGATTCACCTTGTTGGCCGGGTGAAGTTAGATGCGTGTCTCCAAAATGTAACATACATCCATGGCTCGAGATGCCAGAGTTCTTGCTATTGATGCCTGTGTCCAATCTGGCAGAGAGTCCTGACGTTGAATACTGCTACATGAATTTGGCGACGTGGCTTTAAGAGGGCGTCGGGGTTGTTTCTATGGCTGTCATTGTTGTTTGTGGTCACAGAGTGAAGATGAATCACTAGCCTGAAGAATAGTACCGACTGTAGTAGAGGAGTAAGATGATGAAGGTGATGTGGGTAAAGGAGAATGATGCACAGGAAAGCTACATGTGATTTCGGAAGTGTGTGGGCGGTTTTTACTTCCCGGCTGGAAGCTGACTGAAATTTCGCCTCATTAAACAGAAAGGGAGTAAGAATTTCGTGATCTCAGAGTCAAGGGGAGAACGGCTTGATTTCTTGGCTCGGTTTCGTATTAGTAAACCACCGGTTATGGACCACTGTAGGGTAAGTCGGGATGTAGAATTTTTAGGGTCGACCTTTTCTAACTCTCTCTCTCTCTCCAGAGTAAAGAGACAGAATAGCTGGCATGCTGGTCATCTGAGGGAAACACCTTACCGCGGCTGTTACATCCCTGTCCCCCAGGAGTGCGACTTCACCCACAGATCCCCAGCATAGTGTAAAAACTAAATTCTTACACTATGCCGTAGCTGCTTTTAGTCTAATCGCTATCCTAATAACCTTCCTGGAATGGTAGTATCTGCAGGAACAATAGTTTCAGCCAGTGTAGCTTGTTGGGTCATCGCGATATGCAAGCTTGATCACCACATTTAGGTACCAGCTATCGGTCTGGGTCACCAAATACCACCAGTGAGCATATGCTTCACCTGCTATGACTTCGCATTAGAACTTCAGGATTCCTTTTTCTAGTAGCTTCTAATCAGATTTTAGATCTCGTAAGGACATAAGGTGAATTGATAAACCTTGTAAACACAGAAGTCACTGAGTTCCAATCCACTCTTCTAATGATCAGCAGGTTGGTCTAGTAACCCTATTGTTCTGGATTCAAAGTCTACTTGGCATGTGAGTGTGCGCTGGTGCAGAGTCCTAGACCAGGCCGAAAAATCTGTGAATTACTCCTTTTTCTCTAACAGTTCTCCAAAGAATATCGGTTGATGACGAGATGTGCAGTGAAACTCGTCGGATTCTTTACAAGACACAAACTGTGAATAATCCGTTTTTGCTATAAGAATGCTTTTTACAAGTTTCTATATTATTTTAATGTTTATATTTATTTATACACAGATCAAATCACTGTAACACGTGGTTGTTTAAGTGATCTGCTATTGAATACACAATATCGTTTAGATATGCCACAACTTCGTCGTCATGGTTACTGTGTAAATTCACGGGATTATCAACAATATTTACTTGGAAAATTAAAAGGTGATGTATTAGCTGAAACAGCTATGGGATTATTTAAGGATAAAAATATGAATTTTAAACGATTTTGTTATTGTAATGATTGGAATGGATGTAATCATGTAAATAAATTGAAAGTTTCATTGGTTTTTGTCCTATTCATTACATTAATGACTATGATGATGAATTTGTAAACTGCTTTTTTATTTTACTCGCCTTTTTACATACATTATAAGAATACTACTTAATAGACCTAACAGTAGGTAATTTGTATGCATAAAACTAATTTATTGTTAATTTGTTTGTGAAATTTAATTCAGAATATGTAAATAATAAATTTGATGTGATTGGAAACAGACTGTTGTCTTTGAAAAGAATATTTTTCTTTTGAATTCCTTCGTAATCCAAGTGGATTGTGAGGCTCCACGATTTGAGCTCTGAGGCTGCGATAGCGCTCGTATTATTATTCTGTTTTTATGGAGTAGGGAGGGAGGGCTCCATTCCTGACTCCGAAACTTCACTCTTTTACGGAATTACTGCTGGTTAGGCGGGGTTTAGGAGCGCGTCATCTAGGAGGTGAACCTGGACAATCTACGTGGTCGAAGATCATTCTACTTCTGGTCCACCAGTGGAATATTGGAAAATTATTTGACTAGTGAATATTTGAGGTTTTAGGAAATTTAAGGAATCCTTGAGGCGTACTCCAATCTTCAGTATGAGTAATGAAGTAATTTCAGTGATTCGTCAAGGAACCAATCATGCAGTTCTACTAAGAAGTCGTGACCAGTGGGGTGTGCCATGCTGAGTATGAGGACAGATGCTCATCGATGACATTGAACAGTGGTGCTACTGTATATCATGAATTGTTAGAAATTTGAATTCATGGATCTTTGAAATCCATCCCAGTGGCTTAGCGGTTAATTAATTGGCATAATGAACTTAAGGCTTTGAGTCTGGAGACTTTTTGAAGTCATTGGTACGTGCTGCTAAAAGTTTCGCAGTGCAAAATGACAGCGAGGTGGTTCTTCACAGAAGTTAAGAGGTGTCTGTGAAAGTTCACTGCCTACAATATTGAATATGCTGGTTTACCTAGGGGGAGTTGGAAAGCTTTGATTCTAAACCTAGAGTGTATATAGGCCCCAGACTCTGAACACATTGAATGGCGTATTAATCTGTTCTGGTGACCGACAACCATGAGAAGGCAGCTGCTGGCACCATCCGAGTGCTTAGTGGATCAGATTTCAGGTTAATGGCTTGAGGGTGGACTCCTAAGACAACCACCTACTTCAGTCTAGCCAGTATTCCGACCCTCACAAAAACTAAGAGATTTTGTGTGACCCATTGCTTACTGCCCATAGTGTACCAAATATGTGTTTTAATAAATGATAATATAATAACTTCTTATTTATTAAAGTGAAAAATAGTTAAGCGTACATATTGAGAGAATTCACAAGACCCTTCATTACTTCTTATTCCTTTCAGAAAGAAAAGAAACTAGGTAGCTACAGCATGTCCTCCATTTATTCCAATTCTCAGACATATCAGATAAACGTCTGAAGCCACTAAGTTGTACAGTCTGTCTAACCTCAGCTTAGGAATCGTGGAACTCCAACAGATGCCAAAATGATACAAACATCCTCCATCTCAATACTTCTCACCACAAACCGACAACTTCTTGGCACTTCCATTCAGTTTCTGGGCTAGCTGAAAGTAGACATTACAGAATCTGCTGGGTCGACATTTGTAGTACTTTTCCAAACCATAAAGCTAGTGTCCTATGGTTACATTACTTATCGGAAGACGGTCTTCACCATGTTGATACATGCACCATAGACCTCAGAATTGCGTACATATTGATGCCATAAGATGTAAGCAGTTCTAAGGAGACAGCAGCGGCCTAACACTAGATTCTTTATAAATCCTCAGCTCGGAGTGGTTAGGTTTCACAGACTCAGCGGAAAATTGTACGCACGAAAATCTAAAGGCAAGTGTAACGTTGTGGGAGAATCAGAATTAGCTAAGGTTGGTTGTATGGTGTTTGTAATTGCCGGTAGTGCTACCTAAGGCTGAACTATTCTCCAGCTTTCCTATTATCTTATAATGGTCAACTAATCTAGATTTTGCTAGGTTTTTATGTTCGGCTATTCTGACTATCCCCGTTCTACTACTTTGACCCATGTATTTGACCTGGCAATCATTCCGACAGGGTATAAGATAAACTGAATTGTTTTGTTTAATTGGCTCCACAGCAAAGCTTACTTCTAATTGAGTTTATCGGTCAATCAGAATAGCGGAGAATAAAATCTTAGTAAATACTAGATTAGTTGACCCGAATAAGATAAGAAATTTAGAGAATACTTCAGCTACAGAACTACAGGAACTTGGTTTGGATATATATAACCACAAAATAGGATGAAAGGATGAGATGACAGTTTTAAAATCTAGTGTAAGAGGGTGGAGGGAGAGACTGATAACAAAAGAAGCTTTGTTTATCGGATCAACTGAAGATACATGCAATAGGAATGATTCAACACACATCCAGTGAGATACCTGGAAAAATCTTCTACCCCTACGACGACAAATAAGAGAGAACAAAGAAAACTATAAAACTCAAGTTTTGAAGTCGTGCGATTATAATTGATATGATAATGAGCAATAAATCGGGTTCTAAACACTGTTATCCGGTAAATAATACTGTTTCACCGTGTGATATATCTAATAAACAAACTAATATGGAATTACTTACTACCACAGTGCCCAAGTTTTACACATATATTTATATCAAGCGTAATTATACAGTTTGAAAAGTTGGTTTTCATAATTCTCGTCCCTCATTTCCATTTGTTGTGAGGTTAGCGGAATTCATTCCAGATGTTCAGGACAGTTGTTGAATTATTCTCATTACATATATTTTCAGTTTGTTTCGATAAACAAGGCTTCAGTCATCAATTTCGCCTTTTGCCCTGGTAAATTAGTTCGTAGAATTGTCACATAATGTCATCCAGCTATATGGTCACGTATAATGACATGTATTGCTATCTATGAGTTATCTTATATTTTGGATTTCTCTAGGTTTTTCTGCTCTGCTCACTTTATTCATCTTAGCCTACTTATTTCGCCTATCTATCTAACCTCAGAAACATTACGAATAGTTCGATGAAATAAATTATTTCATTTAGTGTGCTCCACAGGATCTTGCGGCTGACATATGTACAGAAACAAGCAATTATTTCATATGAACTGTATTCAAGATTTGACCGGATAGTTGCAAAATAATTGAGCGCTGAGTGAGAAGTAGACATTTATAAATTTATATTTGTAATATCTCAGCGAAATTGAAACGATTAATTCCAACGTCTCGTTCGGCAATCTGGTCCGAACTTCTTCTAGGAAATTAATCAAATTAAAATAACAGAGGTTTATATATGAAAGGAACAACTCATGTTTTTAAACTTTGTCCAATCATGACTGTTGCATGACTCAATTTCGCTGAGATATTACAAATATAAAAGCAATTATTTGTTTCTATAAATTATACTACTTAATTTTAGCAAGTAGTATGTTAGTATTAGACAATGTTTTGGTAACCTTAGGATGCACACTATATTTCAAAAACTTTTCATGTACGTTTTTAAGAACACAATATTCTACGAAGAGACCCTTCTCTACGAATTCATTATCAAGCTGTACAATTGTAACTTGTGAATACATGAAAATAATAATAGTTCGAGATGCAACTAAAATATTTGTGATTATAATCATAGTTAAATATTAAGTATCAAATGGCAAAACAATTAATACCACATATAGAATTCATAGGATGTGTAAATGTTTGAAGGGGATTAATAATTATGGGGTTAGAATGGCAAATATCAAACGTTACATAACACAGTGTGAAATTTGATAAGAAAGAATTCAACATTCTGAAAATTTTTTGATTTAGAGTGATAAGTGGAAACATTTCAAAGTGAGAATGGTAAAAGTAATGATAATAATAGCTTTATCATGCACAATAAGTTTACACAATATGCATAATTTTCAGCGTAGCTTACTGAATAATATTTCCCCTTCATTCATTCAGGAGTTTGAAGTAAAACAGCCATGTCCAGTAAATCATGTGACGCAGTGCTGTTTTATCTGAAGAATAAAAGAATCCTTTATGGTCCTTTTTCTTTGGTCCACCAGAATTGAGCAAGAGTAGGTTGCAAGCTAATTATAAATGTGCATGAGTACATTTGGCGATCCACAGAGATAACAACAAGAACTAAAGAAAATAAGATTCATTGTTTCCGGTGGTGAATCAAGCATGCCACCGTATGATAGTAATAATGAGAGGAAGGTACACACACTAACTAAATAAATAAAACAAATAAAAACAGTAATAGTAAAGACAAATGAATCAATGTCTATCCCTCTACGCTTAGGCAGAAATAGGGATTTTACACATTTCTTTTGTACACAAAGGTCTGGCTTAAATTAATGAATGGCTAAGGCCTCCGCTGTCTTTAGAAGCTTAAAAAGAAGAAAACGCAGCAAGCAATCATGAATTCGATAGATGATCTACAAATCATAATCACGGTTGGTGAATTGACAGAAGTCAATCAAGTGTTCTAGAATAGAGCTTCCCACACCCTTCTTTTCTCCCGTGTAAATCCATGCTGGAATATGTTCTCATATCCATGAGTTCAAAGTGTTCTCTAGCTACTGCCAGTGCACCTTGCTGTGCAAGAGCAGGTTAACTGATAGATGCACATGGAGGTGGCAACACGAGGGAGGTTATGTTTTACAGAGACGTTTTTATTTCCACTTCAACTGATTCTATGTTCTGTTGGATAATGATGCGTAACAGTGCGATGTGGTTCGCACTTGATTTGCTTCTCCTGAATCTAGCTGTTTTTGGGTGGAGTTTCTCATCTAGAGCATCTTTTGGTCTCTTCGGGATGATATGACTTAATATTTTGCTTGAGATGGACAGGAGCGAAATTCTGCACCAGTTTCCGCAAAGACTTAAGTTGCCCTTAACTGGTAGTTTGACAAGGTAGGTTTTCTTACAGTCTTTAGATTAAAAACTTTCTGCAGTATTGGCATGTAGACATCTACTGAGGTCTTTAGATCCGTTTCCAATGCTTTTGGAGGAATTCCGTCTGACTCTTATCCCTTTCGGGTTTCCAGTGCATTTTCGACATTCAAAACT